CTTATTGCAAATCAACTATGCTTATGGCGATATAATCAATAAGTGTGTTAGTTTCTTCTCATCGTACACATGGGTGAAATATTGTGTGCTTCCAGTAGCGGTCAAATTGTCAAGCAACACAGAAAGCATAGAACGACATGCAAGTATCCGAAGTCGCTCCTTTAGCGGTCAAATTGTCAAGCAACACAGAAAGCATAGAACGACATGCAAGTATCCGAAGTCGCTCCTTTTTACGTAAGTTCTAGATGTCTTTTGACGTTGCAAGTATCCCTTCATTACGCCGTAGTGTCGTAACAATTATGCTGGCCGTAACACCAGCACAACTAAGAGGAAACGCTGACTCTTTTTGGTCTTCAAGGTCACGCCCTTGCGGATAAATGGTTGGTAGAGCAAAAACGTTGTGGTTATATTGGACAGATTAGACTTATATACCCAATACAAGTTGGGCTTGTACTTCTTCTTCGCCGACTACTGTGTTGTTGATCTTTGCTTTGAATTCATAGCCAGTGCTACGGCTAGATGTGTTGCGCTAGAGAGTACCTTCATGAACAACCGGTTTGTTTCAATGTGAACACACAAGATCGAGTTCCTTGATAGCTTCATCTTTCTTGTTACCAATCTTGCGTGTGCGCTTAATCACGACAGCATAGTCCAAACTCAAGACGTAAGCTTGCACAGCCAAGAGCGCAGCGTCCAATGTTGTATGGAAGACCTCTGGCAATGCAACGAGTTGGAACCATGAATCTGCATCAACAGTTGTATCATGGATGTGAGCTAAGTTGCGTATTGAACTTCCATCGTGTATTATAACACCTCCCAGCCCTTTACTTCACTTTAAAACAAAATTAGATTTTACACTCAAGCTAATTTTGATTAGTCAGACATTCAATATGGCACAGCGCTCTCATTGCAATCCAGTCAATTCTAACTTTACCTCACCTTCGACAAAATGGATTTCTTCATATCAGATGTGAAGTGCCTTCGTCTCGCTGCTATTTGCTTCCATGGTGTGCGCTACTTTCGATCATTCCTCTTTGCACTGTCCTTACAAAAACTGTATCTCCCATCTAGTCTCGTTGCTATATGGTCCCATGCTGTGCATCACTTTTAATTCTCCCCTTTTTCCTTGTCCCCGCAAAGAACTATATCCGTAGTCCATTCTCACTGCCATGTGCTCCAATGTTATGCACTACTTCTGATTCTTCCATTTTCCCTATCCCGCAAAGACTATATGCTCCTTCCGATCCCCTCCTTGCATGGTATCAAAAACATTTTTGTCTAACTCTGATCAATCACACAACTCTCTTCTGTAGAATATAGTAGGTGAGGGATAACTAGCCATTCACTTCTAAATATCATAAGTTTAGAATTAAAATAAACTTAACATTATTTTGAAACAATATTGCACAAAAAATGATCACCAAAATAATTTAAGTTTTTAATACAAAGTATATCCAATATGTATGTAATAGTAATAAATATGATATAATAAATATCTAAAGATAACTTTGAAAAATATGATAAATAATTTTAGATTTGTAATACTACGGAATAAGGTAAAACAATTATTGTTATTATAACATTGAATAAGAGATTAAGTTTCATATTGTAACATTGAATAAACATTAAATTTATTGATTTAGTCTTACCTCCGTAAACTTGTTGATAAATATATGATTTCCATGAAAAAATAGGGGGGGCGGTTAGTCATCCCTCACCCGGGGCTAATTAGTCTTCATCCTACTATACGGACGTCACTCATTGGTTCACTCGGGTTATAGGGTACGTGAGGTGAAAAAAAAACTTTGTGAGTTTCCAATCTTTCTGATTGACGTCAAAGATGACTCAGTGGCAAAAGCCACGGAGGCAAATTCTGTCCTTGTAATGAATAGTACTCGGCGACAGAATCTATCTTCTGTACATCTTTAGGCTTTGGATCATGTGCTACTCTCACAAAGTCCTGACAAGTTGTCGTTTGTTCTTTGTCTGCTTTAGTATCCATTATACCATGATCAAGATCGTGACAGTTGTCGAGGCATGTGGTTTTTTTTCCTCGATGGATTGTAATTTTGAGTAAGATGAGATTAATGTCCAGAGGCTTTCGTAGCTGTCACACCCATGAGCTCGTTGATTCAAAACACTGGAGAGATTTCAAAGAGAGGGAGGGAGGGACTTTTTCTTGCAACATTTGACAAAGCAAACCAAATTTTTCAAACTCAAAAAGCTTGTCAAATTCACGTGTTTTCAAAATCATTCTATTGCCGACCATTGTCGCGAAGTAAGACGCAAAACTTCATAAGCCTTATTGATAGTACCAAGACTCAAGAACACGTCAAGAGTTTGCTTCACGTTCGGCTCTGAATTTTTGAAATTGACTCGACACATTCTAGGAAGTGCCCTTTCCTTTAGATTGATCGTACTCTAAAGCGGACATAGTTCATCTCGGCGTGTAAGAACTCTCCATGGTTGAATAGAAATTTATTCCAATGAGCACGTCTTTGCTGCCAGGCTTTTGAAGTGGCTACTCAAACGAAATTTCATCTAGCAGAAAGACTGGAAACTTGCAAAATTTTTTTTTCATTACACGGACCCTATAACCCGAATGAAACAATGAATGACGTCCATATAGTAGGGTGAGGGCTAATTGGCCCTATATGAGGGATAACTAGTCGCACCCAAAAATAGTTGCTATATGTATAAATGCCATTAAAGTCAAAGGATGTCTTTATATATAAACAATTGATGAAAATATAATGATTTATTCATGAAAATATTTATTTATGATAAAACGAAATTCTAATTTTAAACTTTTACATAAAATGGTGCTATGTGAATATTATTTAATTAAAACATTGTGCATTATCATCAAATCATAATACAAGATAATTAAGAAATCAATTCTTAAAAAAATGTAATGTTAACATTGAAATGTGTTATTGGATTATGTTCTCAATGAGTTTGACTTCTAGAGTTGTATATATTCAATCAGAAGTTTTATGACATAATCAAATTGTAATACAATGTGAATTGTTCTTCATCCCATATATGTATCTATCTCTTCAAATATTATACCCATAAAACTTCACTTTTACATTTTGTAATTAATCCGTTTTTTATGCATCATTCATTCATATATGTGGCTTATGTTGGACCAATAACACCTATTGTAAAGAAATGGTTCATAGCGATATGTCTCGATCATTAAATCGTTAAAAATTAGGTCTAATGTATATGAAATACAAATATGATTTTCAGAAGTACCAATATCATGAGCATATATCATTTTTAACTAAAGAGATGTTAGTTGAATTCTTTTTTTCAACCATTGTTACAAGTGTTTCATGCGAGGAGATAGTGAAGTCATTTTGAACCTGACAATCAACTATAAACAGGCATGGTTATAATAGTCATTAGCATAAATTCAAAAAAATTAATTTAGGCTAATATAGTCTTCTCAAATAAATTTATTTAGGTTAATTTATTCTTTCAAGAATCTAATTTAATCTCCTCAAAAAGTTAATTTAGTCTACTGAAAAATTAACTGAGACCAATTTAGCCTCTAAAAATGTAATTTAGACCAATTTAGTGTACTAAATTTTTTTAAAAAAATTTGATTGATAAATTTTCAAAAAAATTACCTTAATTTAGAAACATTAAAAAAATAAAAATCCATGAATTATACATAGGTGTCCACTCCCCAATGGTTGCAATATGTAGGCGTCAAATCATAAACACTTTAATTTAGTCGCCTAATCACTACACAAGTTATAAAGCAATCCTACATGATTCGCCAATACAACCATGCCTAGCTATAAACTGAACTGGAGAGTAAGGGAATGGAGCCATTCCCATCCCTAGCCTTCTCACCGAACCGTACGTGAAAGGCATTACTCATACGGGTCCTAACCAGAATCTTTCTGGTTGTGGAACTCAAGCATCAACATTAACATCTTAAAGTAGTTTAGCTTAGTTATTAAAATGTCATTTCACAAAATATTTGCAATTTTTAGTTCATGGATAATTTTTTTTTTTTTGTGGGAAATTTTAGCATATGTAGTTTAGCGTAGTTATCAAAATGTCATTTTCACATTATATTTGCAATGTTTAGTTCATGGATAATTTGTTGAATTTTTTTTGAAATTTTAGCATATGTATAAGTCTATATATATATGTAAATTTTAGATTTCTTTTGATGGCGTTTTGAAAAAGTTTTTGTAAACATGTTTAGAAAATGTTTGATTATAAATTATAAATTGATTCACGAGAAAAAGAGGAGATAAATTAATAAGTGAAAATCACCGAATTGATAGGTTTTTTTTTCTTGATTACGTTTATCTAACTTATACAATTTCTCAACATTGAGCTTAATTCTTATTTTCTAAACCTAAGATTCTGTTTATTTCAAAACTACCATCTGTTAAAATATTTGTTTAAGTGAAAAAATATCGTACAAGATCTAATGTCACACGATATTCTTTCAAACTTTCTGGCTTGATTTTTTTTCCACACATTCTAGATTGGACTCCATCCTCCTTTATCCAACATATTCGGTACATAACCTCTACCTCCTTCTCATACTTTTTCGTTATGCACTTGTCACTCTTCTACGTAATCTCCTTCTCATACTTTTTCGTTACGCACTTGTCACTCTTCTACGTAATCTATACCTCTACCCATTTTTTTTTTCTTGTTTGAAAATTGAGAGGTGAGATCTGGACCGGCCTAAAGGTACACATCTGGTGTCCATTTTCAAACGAACTGATAATTCAAGAGCGCTTACAGAGTACGTTGTGGCCCAAAACCGCGGCGCCAGATTCACCGGGTACGGCCGGTGATGCTGTCTCCCAGCACCGCAGCGCTGAACGGCTGAAGGCGGGTGTTTGTTGACTAAAATGTGCGAACTTGTAAGTGGCGGTACGGGTGGGTCCCACGCCAAATCTCGCGGCTAGAATCTGGTGTTACACTGCATGACCTTCACATGCACTCGACGGTCGACACAGTTCCGACCAGGTCCTACGGCGCCATCAACGTCACTCTCTTGATCTGACGACGAGGAGTTTATCGGCCACCTCTTCCTCCCCTCCCACGCGCAGAGTCTGTGTCGCTACGAGGACATACGAAGCATGGCGCAGTCGCAAATCTCATGGGCAGCAAATTCGAGCCATACGAAGCCGCCGATCGTAGCGCATTTCTGTGATCTGGCGAGAGCGAAGGTAATTTGCGTTTTCGTGACCAGCCTTGTCGCGAAAGTAGTAGCCGCCGTCAAATTGTAACTGCAGCTTCCGTGCTATCGAGCGATTTAATGAACTCTCTAAGATCAGATATTGCTAGAATTCTGCGTGACCAGCACAGCGTACTCTAGAATTAGCTGGACTTGTCAAGTGTTATCAGTGATATCACTTGACAAGTCGGTGATAACTGTCGGTGATAAGTGACAAGACAAGTCGGTGACAAGTCGGTGATAACTTATCACCGAGTTTGGTAGGCTTGTAGGCATGCGAAAGTGCCAAGAAGGCATCAAGATTTCGGTACGGCAGATGTATTTTCACGTGTATATCTGTGTATGTCTACATCGACGAGAAAGAAAGTTTTCAAGAACAGCACAGAAGTCTCCGCTGCATCGAATCCTCTAGCGCTGAGATATCTTGAACTCATAAAGCTTTTCTCGCCACAGACCCGGAAGCCCATTCTTGTACCTCAGGATGAGGATCTTCTCTCTAATTCGCTCAACCTCAAGAACCAATATGATGCGCACTTTCTCCTTGTGTGTTACGAAAACGATAAGATAGTGTGCACTTGTGCAGGTTGTCTTTCTTGAAGCTTAAAGCAAGATCCGCAACTAACCCTGAGCAAGAACCTGGCGTCTAGATCTTTTCTCAGCCTTGAGCGCATACCTTTCCATGTATCTTGACGTTGTCAATTGCCAAGTTCTGCCAGAGAAAGGGAAAGCCGACCGGGTCCAGGATAAGTCTGGAAGGGTCTAGTTTGGGCACCTAATTTCTTACATCCCTCGCTGCTTCTCGAGCTGAAAAGAAAACGGCGACGCATGGGATGAAAGCTAAAGTTGTACTAATCATAAGCATTAATATATAGTAATATATGATATAACTGTTTGCTCCGATACCGACCGACTGCCCAGTCACTCCTTTCCCGCGGCTTCTACGAAGAGAGGACAGTTTTCAAGATCTGTAGGTTTACTGCACGGAGCGAAGTAGTCGCCGGAGTAAGACATAGATTGAGAAAAGCCTTGTTTCTACTAGAGATTTTAGAACGTTACGCTATACATTCTGCACGGTGGAATCTTTGTCAGGAACGGGGCTAAATTCGGTCCGATAACGGAAGAGCTTGAACGGACCATCGAACGGTCCATTTATTTGGCTGTGATTTAATGTACAGTATGTATACGAGTACCTCTAACAGTCTTGCCAGAGCACTAGAGTACTGAGCTTGGAGAAGCACTAAGATTGGATGTCACCTACTATTGAACAGTTCGGTGCTAGTACTATGGTCGTGTGTGTTGAGGGAAGTGAGCAGTGCGTGCCATGAAGAAGAAAGTTGATGATCACGACACCCACAGCACTCTGCCCGAGGAAGACGATGAATCATTGCATTTCTGGAGGGTGTAGCTGGGAAGGAAAAGAATGGAAAAGGCTGTGAGTGCGCTTTAGTGAAGGGTTTGAAAGTACTCTCGCTGAGGATCTTTTGCGAGCGGGTGTTGTAAACTTACACGCAACGGCTTGCGGAATCGGACGAACATTAGATGGACGATTGATCTTGATGACGACGCTGCTGATGCTGCCGTCTCCGCAGCGATCGAGGTTCAATTCCATTCCGCCTAGTCACCTCATCATTCATTGTGGGCGGACGAGGATAAGGTTCAGAATCTTCGAATGTTGTGTTCTTGCCTTTCTCCGTCCGTCTTGTGAGCATTATAATTATAATGCATGTTATCATATGTGGCCGTATATTTCACAGTGAGGTGATAAAATATGGTTTCTTGGGTACTTAGAAAATTCTCTGCACCTTCAGATTCCCGGGCAGCGTCAAGTTGATTCTATAATTTGTTTTTTGGGGGGCCCAGAAATTAGATGTGTGTTAAACTCACTAGATAGACACGCTTATCAAGATTCTAATGATTTTGTGAGTATCCGGCTTGTCAATTGACCCCAGTAATGGACACGATTGCACCCTAAAGTGGAAAAGACATAAATACCTGGGTCTTGTCTAAAGCCTTCACCAAGCCGCGCTCCCAAACTCCCTTGGAGCTATGACCATCACCTTCTAGCTGCGAGCTTCGAGAACCAGAACAGTGAACGAAATCTGGGCCCACCAGCTGACCAGCATTACGAAGTCAGCAGGGAACTCTGGAATCTGCCTTGAGGAGACAAGGGAATCGTCTAAACTTTGTCCGAGCGAAATTCCTATAGTGAGTTTGTCCTGATGTGCTGCATCCAAGCTCTGAAGGCGGACCTTTTAGAACTGTTCAAAGCAAGTTCTCCCGGTTACCCGCTCAGCTAACTGTTTAGTTGCTGGATAATTATTCTCAGGTTCCCTGTCGTCATCAGATGAACGTCATGTCGTCCGAATTTTCATGACTTATTGATTTTGATGTATGATCTCAGGAGATAAAATGAAGTGAAGTGATTGTCGTCTCGAGAGTTGGTTCCGACGGAGGTAGCGTTCCAAGAACATCGAATATCCGCGTTGGTCAAGTAGTTAGCTGGCTAGCTGCCCTGCAGGTTATACAGATGTGGCAGGTCTTTTCTGGTCTGTATTATATATAAAATAGCCAACTGGTGCAGCTTCATATTGTCGGTCTCAGTTTTGAACCCGCAGGGAGAGAAAGAGCGAGTGATAAAATTTGAAAGAGCGAGTGCTCTCAGTGACAACCTTGTCACGGTGGTCAAGTGTGATTGACTGTATTATGGTTGACTCAATCACGTCCACTTCAATAGTTGTAAATGTCTGCGTGTTATGGTGAAAATGCAGTTCTACTTGTATCGCAAGATAAGTGTTGCCGAAGATTCTTGTGTTTACAGGCCAATATGATCGAATCCATTCGTCTATTAGTATCTACACGTTCACTTCAAAGTGGTGTCTATCTTGTGGAGTTGATTCAAACCCGACTCCTGCTCATGCAGGTAGGAATAGCAAAGAATCTGCTGAGTGGGATCATTCCTTAAGATCCGGCAGGGTTGAAGCTTGAAGCCTGTTTGAAGCATCGGACCTGATATCTTTTCTACCCTGCGATTGCAGAGTGGATCCAGTACACAGTACGTCTTTTTCCACAAGTTGAGATTTCTAGGCACCTTAAATTTCAATCGTACCTCCATCGCCGATGTTTATCGTACACGAAGAGGCAGTTGATAGTGCTGAATATGCAGACATCGACATTTGTCTGAAGGATGCAGCGGCTGTCGAGTTTGAGTTTGTGGCATCGAGTTGTGGGTCTTACACTGGTGTTTATAGCCTTGTTGTACTTAGTGGATCTCACAGTCGTACCCATCGAATCCAAATCCCAGTATTTCCGCTTCAATCCTTTCTCATCACGGGACGACACTAGCTGTTACGGCAATCTCTCTAAGTCAGGCAATTTGGAACATTTATCAAACTTGGCGGAGTCTCCGAAACAATTAAGCAACGAGATCACTGAGAATGCCGCAGACTCTGTTGGACGACGGCCTGGGGGGCCCTCAAAACCAGCCATCAATGGGATCTCCAATAAATTTGCCGACGACACTGGAGGATTGCCTGTTCAAGAATTGCTCCATGTTACGGAGATAAATTCTGGAGAAACCGCTGAAGTGCCAACCACTTCCCATTATCACAACTCTACTTGGAAGCCAGAGATCGGATACTGGCTTGAAAAATGTGGTGAAGCTGCACCATTTCTCGTTCCTGAAGTAAGTCTATCAACCAACTATTTACTTCGGACAGTGATTTGAGAATGAATCGGAGGATGCTACGCGGTAGATATAAATTTCTTGCGGTGAGAATTTTATTCATAATGTTTGTAATGGTTTCTTTATAATTTATCGTGTATTATGTATGTAGACGGTTGTCTAATCTCTTGAGATCGGCTAAATGTCGAACAATGCACAGCAATTTGCCAACAGGGTCTGCGAGCACAAATGTCAAGGACGTGGTGTGTGCAATCATGATTTCGGGGAATGCCGCTGCTACCATGGTTACACCGGTTCGTTAATACCTTGTTCCTTCCCCTTTTGCTGCGTCCAAGATGAGAAACAGTCCCAGAGACGTGAAGTAGTCATGGTACGGCCTCGCCGCCGTGACGCAAGTTTGAACTCGAGCTAGTAGTGAGGAATGGTTGAGTCCAAGCATTCATCCATGCAGTCAGATTTCTCGAATCTGTGTGTTTCGAATTCTAAATGGGTAGAGGAGGAAAATAATTATCACTTGGTTTACAGCGGCTATTTCAATTCTCCAGGCACATCTTGTGCTTGGTTTGTGTGCAGTACACAGTGCGATTATGAAGATCTATTATGTTTCATATGCTTGACAGGCAGAGGATGCGAGGTGGAACAGCAGTTTGTATGCAGTGACAATGAGACGGAAAAGTGGACGGCGATTTATGGGAGTTGGAGGGTATCCATATGCGGGGCTTACTGTGACAAGAAATTAAGCTTTTGTTACTGCGGAGAGGGAACTAAATATCCTCAGCGACCAGTGGCGGAGTCCTGTGGCTTCTCAATGTAAGGATGTCGTCATCTGTTGTAACGAGGCTGTTTGTTATGAATACGTGTGGAGTTTTAAAATTATGATGATGTCCACATGAGGAGGTTTATTACGCACATCGAAATATTCGCTGAGTGACACGAGGCCTTACAACGTACTCCCTTGACTAGCGATGCATATGGAGAGGCAATAATTTTAGAATATGGAGTCCTTACTATTAATCTATCGGAAATTTGAAAAGTAGTTGACAACAACCTTGTTGGCAGGAGGGATGATCGTGTCGATTGGGACGCGCCAGATCCTTCAATATTTTCGAATGATAACGAGAGTATTGGGTGGTGCAATTTGAGTATCCAGGATTTGGACAAGTTTGAAAAGAAGCCAAATTGCGGGTGCATTTACGATGGAACCGGAGGAGATCTGTGTGAAGTTCCTGTCGAAAGCTTCTGCATAAATCAGTGTTCTGGAAATGGGCGATGCCGTGGAGGTTCCTGTGCGGTGAGTCTTCGGCATCCACTCAGGAAGTCCTTCCATGTTTGGCTTCCGCTGTGTCAAATGGTTACCAAGTATCTGTAATGTTTACGTTTACCACCATTGGGGTACTGCTTTTGACTAATGTTTCTGTTTCCGCTCCTGGACTTGATTAGCTAGAATTGTTACTGCTGTCCGTCTCGAGGAAACTTATTTGGCGAATTTTAGATAGAGGCAATCCTGCAGGTTTACGAATCAGGTAGACGTGTGTGGCAGAGGTCAAAAAGATTATAAGAACCTTGCGTCAACCAATTTACCGGGAAAAAAATCAGAAATTTCAGTTTTGCTACGAGCTCCTCTTTCATTTGAACGTCTTGTTACTCGTCCGGATCTTATTATTCGACATTATGTCCAACCATATTTGCCGTGAATTGTTAAGGAGCCTCACAATTTCATGGTGTTCACTTTCTTACTTTTCTAGCATTCTGGTATCGCTTCAGCGTTTTATCTGTTTCAAGTCTCAAAACAAATTTCAATCGTACTAAGCCCGCCTTTTCGTACTACGTGGTCAGTGTGTCGAAGGGTGGCACGGTATTGACTGCAGCATCCCTTCATCGCTATCATCCCTTCAAAGGTGGCCCCATTGGCTCAGACCTGGAGTATTAAAGATGACGGATGTCTCCGAGTCTTGGCAGCAGGAAACACTTGAGGTCGTGGTGGAGAGACGCCGACCTTTGATCTACGTCTACGAGCTACCTGCTAAATTCAATAGTCATCTCCTCGAGGTATCGGAACTTCTTGGCTACAGTTGCTGTACACTGCTAGTTTGTATAAATAACAGCTGGTAAGCTCAATGCGTGTTGGATGTGTGGAGATCATAAGAAGTCGCTTGTTGAATTTCAGGGGCGACACTACAGAAATCATTGTGTAAACAGGATCTATGACCTGGATAATCGGACGATATGGATCGATGACCTCTATGGATCAGAGGTGGGTACCTTATATACAATGTTTACTACTGATTCAACAGAGGAAAATTTACCGGGACTTTTTTGGACGAACGTATATGTACTTTGACTCTCGTTATCTCAACGACAGTTGGATTAAGCACATTAGGGACTTACTTCCTGCATATGAACCGCAGGTTGCAATTCTAGAAAGTTTGCTTTCTAGTGCCTATCGCACTTCTAACGCTGAGGAGGCCGACTTCTTCTACGTGCCAGTTTTGGGAGCCTGCGCCATCATTCGTGCAGATGAAGCCCCTCATATGAACATACAGGTCTCTTACATGTTACCTGGAGAATTTACTCGCTGACTATGAATGGCCAGATTTTGAATAGGACTTTCAACTCTAAAACTTAATGGAATCTGCAGCGTCTAGTTATCTTAATTATTCCTGGATCTTCACTGCTTTATGTTGAATGCTTGTAAGCTTTTGTATCTGATTATTGAAGTATTTTTAAGTGTGGCTTTATATATTTCGTCAACTCCTCACAGGGTTCCTGTTGTGCTGCATACTAAAGATTTTGATAATTTCCCAACCTGATGGTTTATACTTCAGATGAGCATGTCCTTGAGCTTTTATTAGTGCATGAAAGGGGTGGCAAGAACGTAACTCCCGTACATTCTTCTGGACTGTGCCCGAATAAGCAATGGACTTGATCAATTGGTTGCAGACAGACTTTCTAGGGTTGCGGACGTACTTTTCAGGAGAGCTGTACAGAGAAGCTTTTGAGTACATAAGAGATACCTACCCGTATTGGAATCAAACCGAAGGGCGTGACCATATGTGGGTAAGATTTGCTTTAGGGTAGTCTTTCTAGTGAAGATTATTTCGTAATATTGTTCTTCGCTCCTGTTTCGGTTGGTTACAATTATATAACAGGTGTATCACAAAGCTTCGCTTCTTGAACGCTTTGGCCTGCTATGAGGGTGCAATTTTTCTTCAAAGGCCTTTGCAACTATGAGATTATATATAGCCTTTATTGCACCGGACTTCCTTTAGAACCTGATTCTCATGCTTCCCTTGCGCATTCACTTCAACCTGTTAGAATTATTTTGCTGATCAGGTTTTTTGATCACAGTATAGATCCTGACGATATCTCATAGACTCATACCAAAGCAGCATCCAGGAAATGATTATAGCTTATATGTGAGTGACTGTGAATCAACCGGCCAGTTCTTCTACATCTGGATTACTAATATAAGGTGGTCCTCAACAAAATAAACTGCTTTGCAAAACAGCTATTTCCATGGGATGAAGGCGCGTGTGCAGCTCCGAAAGAAATTTGGAACAGCATGATGCTTGTACACTGGGGTAACACAAATTCCAAACACAATTACTCAACCACCGCTTACTCAGCGGATAGTTGGAACGATATTCCTAGCGAATGGAGGGGTAATCATCCTTGTTATGACCCAGCAAAGGATCTTGTTTTACCTGCTTGGAAGGTCCCGGATCCTACCTTCTTCTCAATAAAACCGTGGGCAAGGTGAAAACTACTGCAACTGACCACTCTGTCCTGTCGCTAGTAGTTTCATACCATGTTACCTATGGTTTTTGCCTCATGGAGGTCTCTTGTTTTGAAAATGGTGTATTGCTCTGTTGCGTATTGCAACGTGTACCAATTTTGTGTCATTGCATAAGTTATTAGAAATCAGAATTGTATAGTAAATGTTAGAGGTCATGAACTTAGTGCCTTGCCGTAGATGGAAGGCTGTGTATGGCTTAACATCAGTATTATCAGTCCTCTCCTGCAGGACGCGCAAGGAACGGCCGACGCTTTTCTACTTCAATGGAAATTTAGGTGACATGTATGAAGGACGACCTGAAGCTGAGTAAGTGTTGTCTTCATTTCTTGTGTATTCATGTCAGCACTTTGTGATATCGTGATCATCGAACTTCATGAAGAACTCATGTTATATAATAACAAGTCTGGTTATGATGACAAGCTGTTCTAGTATTTTCTTAACATGTTAGATTGAAAATGCCTGTTACCTTTACAGTAAGCGCTTTGCTCCCGTATCCAGCCCAGATTTATTTCATCTTACAATAAAAGTCTAGTCTCTGCTACCTCGTCAAGCGACATACGCAATTGATCTTGGAAGTAGTGAGAAGCTTATACATCTAAGCTATGACTGGTTCAAACAAGAGCTTCAAATCAGATATTTCATTTGATCGACTTATGAGAGTTGTATAATGAAGTCCATTTTCCAAAAAAAAAGTCATCAATGAGAGTTTTTTTGCGCATGGCACTGATCTCTGGAGAATAAGAGATTTCAAAACAATATTTCAACACCTTCTTCTGGTACGCAGCTGAAATATGACTCTGTTTCTATCAGAAACAGAGTCAAAATGGGCACACGTTTTAGGCTTATTATCAAGTCTAAATCTAATGCTTTTCATACATTTGTACAATTTCATCTGACATTGGTGCAAATTCAGATACAGCATGGGATTACGACAGAGGCTGGCGGAAGAATTTGGCTCGCACCCGAACAAAAACTTAACGGCAGGTCGACAAACAGCTCCTGATGTGACGGTCGTCTCCACAAGAAGTGAATCCTATGGGATGGAGCTTTCACAGTCTCGATTTTGTGGAGTTCTTCCTGGAGATGGCTGGAGTGGGCGCATGGAAGATAGCATTTTGCATGGCTGCATACCTGTGATTATTCAGGTGCCCATATCAAGTTAAGACGCTAAAATAGCTCCCTTTCCTATTCGATTATTTTGTTGTCATTGCCATAATTCGGGAAAATTTTGTCTACATTGTTCAGGATGGCATACACCTCCCTTTCGAGAGTGTACTTAATTACGACGAGTTCTCTCTACGTGTAGCTGAACGTGATCTTCCACAACTGATTACAATTTTGCGGGTAAGCTCTGAATACTGTGTGCTTGATAAACTTCAGAAGGCTGAAATGTGCTATAATTCCAGGACTTATGTTTGACCCTGGATAGAACTTCCGCCATTGATATTGAAGCACCTCACCGTACTTGGTGTATGTTGTACAACAACTGGCAGAGTATCGAATTTAAAGGCTGATCGCTGTTTCTACTTCTTCTGATTGTTAGAAAGTTAAATTGAAGTGTTCTACTTGCAGAATGTGACTGAAAGCAGGGTTGACTCAATGCTGTCTGCAATCCAAGGATTGTGGCAAAGATTTACATACATAAGTGCTGTTCAACTTGAGGGCAAACGAGAGATCCAGAAGCATGGCGAAGCATACGCGGATTGGATTCAGCAGTATATGAATGCTTCTGGTGATGATGCTTTCTCAACTTTCATACAGGTGTGTTTCTAAACTCCAGGAGGTTAACATTATTTTTCTTTATCATGAAGGTGGGATACGTTCTGACTGCACTATATGGACACAGGTTGTTTTAGTTATCACATTCGTTGCACAGAGGACAATAGAATTGGCATAACGCAATATTGGCACAACACATTCAAGTAAAAACTAATGATAATTCTGTGAATAATAATGGATTGTCCTTATGGACTTTGTTCTCCATGATCATTCATGCATTTAGTGTTTGCTGTCATTGTTTCGTATGACAATTGCAGGTGCTGCACTTCAAATTATATAACAGGACGTGGACGAAGACCACGACAAATATAGATTCAGAAGATTTCAGTAGAAAGGATTACTGTAGTAAAAAAATCCCTTTATAGCACCTTTTTCTTAGACATGAAGATGATCAGGATTAAACACCTGTGCTCTAGTTTAAGAGCGCTTGTTTATTGCCGAAGTTGGGAAGGTTTTTTGTCGAAACTACGCAGCCTCCACGGATGGCCAATATCTCAGCAAGCGGTGCTATACTTTGATCAACTCAATTTGATCCAATTCAAAGTGCTGGTTCAACCTAATTGTGTAAAACAGTAAGCTACAACTGAAAATTTCTTTGAACAGAAATCTTTGGCCCAGGATATGTGGGAGAAACGTGTTGAAGGTTTTGATACAATCTTGTGTTGGCACTTAGTGGAGTAGTAAGTATCAAAGCTGAATATAGAGTGGATAGGTTGACGATCGCGTATATTGCACTCCAGAAGCTTAAACCTTTATTTGTACCCCCGCGAAGAGTTTACAATAAAATCCTCTCACGAGAATTGAAGGAGAGATCAAAAGCTTAAATCCTCAATTCTCACCCCCCAAGATGTAAGCACAGAACCCACTGTGCAACTTTACACGCATAATGAACGATAAGGAGATCGAAGTGCTGATGAGCTAAAGGAGGTTTCTTTGGAAAAATGCGAATAATTTATAACTCATGGTCACGCAAGTGTTTTTAAGGGACGTATTTATGCGAAGCGACTTTCGTTATACTGTATTTCCAAGGGGGAAAGAAAGAAACGAGGATCGATGAAGAGGTTGTCACATCCAATTCTTCAGTACCCTGTTGTATTTGAGCGAAGGTAAAGGTCTACGTCCCTTTCTCTCCAAGATGCTTGGCATGAAAAGTATCAGCCGGGCAAATTGATAGTCGCAGGTGGATTCGGATTGAAGAGAAGTTTGTATTTTAGCTCCAGGATAGAGTACTTCCTAGCTGAAAAACATATACGTTTTGTTCATCCTGATGGGGAAAAGACTTGGAAATCACGACTGCATTGTATGGTTTGAGAATCTCTGGAGAAAAGAAGAGCTAAATTTTATGGTACTGGGACTTGGTTGCTTCCATCACAAGGAAATGGGATTAGCCATGGGATGCAAGGTGGGGATTAGCCACCGCAAGAGCACAAGGCTCTAGGCGAAGTATGCTCAAGGAGCTTATTGAAGGATACTAGGTCTCATACAAATTGTAGTGTATACTTACATGCTAAGTGTATACTACACTAGCTGTAGTTGGGATTCATGAGAATTAATTCTTAATGTATGTTTACATCTCAATAATAAAGAATATAAAGAATTGTGATATTTTTCCTTGCTTTAGTCTTTCAGAACTTAGATGGCAGTTCACAGGTTGATAATTTACGGCTATATACATGGAAAATCATATTTCCATGTATATAGCCCTAACAACCCAAACACCAGAATCATAAACTACTCTTTTATACTACACTACTTCACTTGTTCACAGTTTTGCATTGATATTGCTTCACTTTGTGAAGTATATATTGGGTATATATTGATTTTCAAAAGTGCTTGAATGAGTGTTGTACTCCGATTGAATATTAGCTATTCCACATTCAATTGTTGAAGTGGGCTAATATTCTTTCATAAAAACCTCACAGCTTAAGATTTGAATCGTCTGCTATCACTCAAACTTCACAAATAATTCATTGAAAACTTTCACAAATTTTTGCCGCCTGATCCATCAAAAGAAGTTTCCAAATATTGACTTTATTGCAAAGCAATATGCAAATATGTGTATTAATCTTACTAAAATCTGCGATTGATGTTTTAATCAATATTAAACTTAATGATGACATGTATTGTCATCCAAACTTTATATCTTAGATATTTTATGTAGAGATTGGTTTTATATAATTACCATAATTATCTCATGAGACAAATTGAAATCCTGCAATTTTGATTGTGTAGAATAGATTTTAGTAGATATTACACATTTCCAACTATTTCATTTGAGTTCAAATTTTCAATCTTAAGAAAAGCTTAAATCATATCATTTTATTGATAATGTTTGATACTCTACAAGCCTTACAACAATCCAAAAATTTATCTAAATGTAATCGTAGAAACTCAATGACGCACTCAAATCAACAACCAAACCATCAACAAGACACCAATGTATAAAGTGGTTAATCCTTAAGGGCTACGTTAACGGAGTAATACACGTGATAAACTATACTGTTAAGATGAAAGCACAACAAAGAATGATTATACATTGAAATATCATGATATATATATATATATATATATATATATACCAATAACCTCTCAATAACCTCTCTAATCTATTTTATTATTTCGCGGAAAGTTTTAGATGTAAATCTAACATCACTCTTTAAATGAGAGTTAACCAGAATTAAACCGTAGACATAACATAATAGAGTAATAATATACAAATGCAACTCAACAATCTACCCTTAACCCGTGTTAAGGAATCTAAGTAAACTCTAAATTTTACTCTTATAAAATGATAGAGTTACAATAAACATAGGTAACTAAAGAATATCCCTTAACTCGTGTTAAGAAATCGAGAATAGAGTGATACTATTAGAGTTGACTAAAAACCATATATATCGTGCTGACTATGCACAACTTGTATAGTAGCACAGTGTTGCTTGAAACTCTCCAAAGAAATAACTTTGTTCAACGCATTAGTTGGATTGAGTAAATCGTTGATCTTGACGAGCTCAATTATTTTCTTAGACACTAATTGTCTAATAAAGTAAAACTTGATGTCGATGTGCTTCACTCTGCTATCCATGACTTGATTTGCAACAAAATGTAAAGCATTTTGTCTATCACAATGAAGATTGATCACACCCTGTGTTACATCTCCATGATAAACCTATCCAATCAAATAACTTTCTTTGCCGCTTCTGTTGCTGCCACATACTTAGCTTCCATTGTTAACTGAATTACACATTTATACAATATAGATCTCCAGCTTATGCTTCCACCGCTGAATGTAAACACATATCTAATTGTAGATATCCTTTTGTCTAAATCGTGTCTGTGATCAACATTAACGTAGCCAAACAAAGACTTGACATTGTCTAATAACCCATCAAACAATAAACCATAATCCACAAAACTCTTCAGATATCTCAAATTCATTTCACTTCTTCCTAGTGAACTTTCTCTGGATTCGACATCTAGCTGCTCATCTTCCCCATCGCCAGAGCAATATTAGAAGCAATGCACACCATTAAATACATGATGGTGCATACAGCTTGTTCATAGAGAACACATGATATTCTTCCTTTCTCCTTAGCATTTGTAGTACATTGAGCTACAAAGAGTTTAAAATGTGATGGCAGAGTAATCCATACTCCTTTTGAATTAACCATTTTGAACTTGTCAAGTACACGGCAAACATACTTGCCCTAATTCAACCATAGCTTCTTCTTTCTAAAATCTCTATAGATATCAATGATTAATATTGTCTTCGACTTTTCCATATCTTTCATTTTAAATGCAGATTTCAGTTGATTCTTGCATTCATCGACATCAGATTGGTTCTTTGAAAAGATGAGCATGTTGTCAACGTTGACTACTAAAATGATGAGATTGAACATCTAATTATTCACCTTCTTCATGTATACACAAGGATCATACATGCTTCGTAAAAAAATTTATGATTTCATAAACTCATCAAATTGTGTATTGCATTGTTTAGGAGCTTGCTTCAGTCCATAAAATGATTTCAACTATCAACAAACCAACCTCTCATGGTCTTTGATCTCAAAACCAACTGGTTGTCTCATGTAGATTTTCTACTCTAAGTATCCATAAAGAAAGGCTGTAATCTCATCCATCTTGTCCATAACAAGATTGAATATTGCGGCATGTGCACATACCAGACCAATTGTAGCATACTTTGCTACAGCCAAAAATACTTTGTTGTAATTCACACCCTTCTCTTGTGTGAAACTTCTAGCCATCAACCTGGTTTTGAAGATTATTGCCGCATCTCTTGCTAGATTGTCTTTCAGCTTGTACACTGTAATAACCCACCAAAGGCTAAAACTGCAATATAGTGGTAGAAAGGTCAAACCCACACGGACATAGGCAACACACAGAGTACAAAGTGTCACATTTAACAGACTATTGAAGAGTTTGAATTCTCAGGCGACTGTCACTCCCAGAAATACTGCAAGTGTTCACTCGGAGCTCACTCGGAGGTCGCACAGTGCAGCGTAGTTCACTCAACACACACACACACACACACACACATGAAACTATAGAAACACCACTCAGAGGTCGGTTAGGACCTCTACTTAAGATTTTTGGGGGAAAGTCTCTCACGAATACACTCAGCGAATCTGCGGGTAGTGACTCCCAACTCCGGCTTTTACAACCCTTCCACTAGTTTCTGCTAGCGTAGGGAACCCGGATTGGACTTCCTACTTAGGATCGAAGTCACTCACACGTGGTGAACAACACACTCAACTCACAAAACGCGCAGAGAACACAGGTCTGAACTGAGAGACTCAACTGAGAAACGATCCAGTAGCACACCATAACAGTCTATTGAAGAGTTTGAATTCTTAGGCACTTGTCATTCCCAGAAATACTACAGGGGTTGCCCTGAAGGCACATGCTGCAGCGTAACCTGAATTACAACCAAGGCTTACTCGAAGTAGCAAAACTTCACTTTGACATTCAGGGGAAAAATCCCGAAGGAATACAATCAGGAACAACCACTCGAAGGCGTAGGGGCGAACTGTTCAAGTATCTAACTAGTAACTAGCTCTGAGCATCGGCAATCACCCGCAGGTGTAGATCCGAACTACTCAAGTCTCTAACCAGTGTACTAGCTCTGAACATTCGGCCGAAGGTCTTCAGCTACAAAATGCGGATCGCCAAGTTGTAGCTCCTCTTGCGTGGTGACAGAACTAAGGACACAAACACGCAGAGAAAATGAGTTCCTGATCTGCACTTCTGAAATTGGAAGAATCCCAAGGCAAGACGCATTGAACTACTTTATACCCTATAAGTCCTAACTAACACTACATTGCACTACGCTACGCGCCTGCACGGAACCACGCTACACTACACTCCGCAGAACCCGTGCTTCGCCTTCTGCGCGACGGACTGCCGCGCACTAACTCCCTACCCTGCCAGTTTCAGCTCGACTGCGCAGTCTCAACCGCAGCAACACCGCAGAAACCTCTATCTCGAGGGTGGCCATGGCGTCCCGCGACTTCGACATAAACGAATCCAGCTTCTTCGCCACTCGCCGCCGGCTCCGACTATCACCTGACACCAAACCCGCCACACGAAGCTCTAACTCAGGCAGTGTGAGTTTCTCCTGCGCCGCCACTTTCCAGTGGATGTAACCTCTGAGACAGTGGTTGACTTGCCTCGCCAACTTTTCCTTCGTGCGATCTGCCTCCCGCCGGCGATCGTCTTCAACCACAACCAACTGCAATTCAGACTCCGCACGCTGCGCTCTCAATTCCCCGCACTCGGATTGCAGTTTGCGGATTAATTCTTCATCCGCCTGTCGTGCAAGCTGACACTGTTCCAACAACCGTGTCTGCTACACGAGCTCCTATGACAAAATTTGATTCTGAGCC